GATTTCAGCAGGTTCTGGGACATGAGGGCTGTTTCTGGTTGTGTACCTGGCCCTGGGGTGATTAGGGCAGGTGGAGAGTGTCCTAGTGTGTGAGAGCCTGAGAAAGGAGGTGGTTGTGTGTAGGGTCTGGATTGTTCTGTATGGGAAAAGCACATTTGTGGGTGCATGGTTTATCATCTCTAGGAATTGTTGACTCCTGGGAGGGGCAGTCCTCCTAAGGTCTGCAAGTCTTCAGCTATCAAAGCATCAGAATACAGAAAATAAAAGACACTGGGGGGTGTTCTGGGAATGTGGTCTTTCCACAGGCCTGGGGGAAGAGGTCAGATGAGGTCCCCCTGTTTAAGTGATATTTGAGCAGAGAACTGAATGAAGAGAGGGAGCGAGTGGATATAACCTAGGGAAGAGCCTTCCTGGTGGCGGGAACAGCAAGGGCAAAGGCCCTGAGGTAGGACCGTTTTTGGTCTGTTCCGGGACTAGAGAAGAGGTTGGCAGAGCTTGCAGGAGAGACAATGGAAGCAGGTCAGGGAGGTAGGGCTGAGAGTGTGTGGGTGAGCTGTCACCACGTTGTGGCAAGCGTGGTGCTCTGAGCGGAGGAGGAGCATTATCTGACTGGGGTTGTAATGGGGCTCCTCTGCTGCTGTGCAGAGGGGAGGTGGGAGAGCAGGGAGACCAGGGGGGAGGCTCTGGCAACAATCCAGGACCAAGAGGCTGGGGGCTGCCCCAGTGTGGGACCCAAGTGGACAGATTCCCGTTATAAGCTGACAGGCCTGGATGGGGAGAGGTCTGAGACAGAGTGGGAGAGACAGAACTTGCGTTAGGAGGAACACTTTATTTGTTTCTGAAGGAAAACATACGTGACGCCATTTTAGCAAATGGAAATCTGCGTGAAAACCAGGCTTTCTTTGACATCTTCCTTCACGCTCCAACAGCCCCCGTGCCCGCACGCCCATCACTCCACGTGTCTGGAAATGTCTACTTGCGTGTCTTTTCCTCCATCAGATTATCAGCACCTCTGGGGCAGGGGCTGGGTCCAGTTCTGTTTTTTTGGTTGTCTTGTCCCCAGCCGCTGTGACAAAGACTATTTCAGAGAAAGTTCGCTGGAAATATTTGCTCAGTGTCCACTTTGCAGATCTGCGTTTTCTCCCTGGGAGGAAGGATGTGCCCAGCAGGGATGAGTTTCCATGCCCACGTTTTCCCTTGACAACTGGACAATGTCTCCATCTTCCTCACCTCTTAACCTTTGCCTGGGCTGTCCCCTCGGCTTGGATTGCTGTCCACACCTCTCCCCCAGATCCCCTTTAAAGTCCACCTCCTCAGAGATACCTTCCCTGACCCTCTTTTTTTCCCCTCCACTTTATTTATTTAAGTCATTTCTATACCCAACGTGGAACTCGAACTCACAACCCAGAGATCAAGAGTCCCATGCTCCTCTGGCTGAGCCAGCCAGGCGGCCCCCTTCCCTGACTTTCTTAAGTGGCTTCTCTCTACCGCTCCCTGGTCCCAGTTACCCCTCTCTAGGTAACTCTGTGCTTACCAACATCAGAAGTTATCACCTTCAGTTCACAGGGCTCTGGTTCTGCGATGGGAGGTGGTCTTGGTGCCTGCGCTCATCCCCCTCAGTGGGATGGGCGCTCATGCCCCAGCAACTGTGGGTGCCAGTTGCTAACGGCTCCCACCTGCACTTCTTGGACAACTAGCCCTCGGCCAGTTGGAGGGGTCTTTCAGGGTATGCCTGGGGGGCGGGGCAGGATCAGAACGAGGGAGCAACACGTGGGGTCGAATCACGTGAGTGCAAAGGCAGAGCCCATCTTTACCTAAAATTCTGATATTTTGTTCATTGTGGATTTGGGGCATTAATTTTGATTTTTTTTTCTTTTTTAAAGATTTTATTTAAGTAATCTCTACACCCAACGTGGGGCTCAAACCCACAACCCTGAGATCAAGAGTCACATGTTCCACTGACTGAGCCAGCCTGGTGCCCCTAATTTTGATTTAAAAAAAAAATGCATTACAATATGATTGATCTTGATTACTGGGTCTTTTTTTGGCTTCCCTGTACATTCTGTGTGCAAGGAGAGAAGTCCTGAACATGCCCATGCCAGGGGTAGGGCCCGAGAATCCGGGCTGTTAAATCTGCCTTCCCAAGCCCCCCGCAGTGAGTCTTGCAGGCACCGAGAGCTAAATCGGAGATGGAGGATAACCATGGGACCCAAGAAATAAAACAAATTTGGAAAGGCTTGCTTTGCTGTTTCTCCTAGGGTCGTGACTCGCACACCGCGTTCCCAGCTGTATGGGGTCTGTTGCCTGTACCAGGGTCAAAAGGGAAGCCCCATTAGGGCAGGGGCAAGGAATTTGACCCCACACTTCAATGAGCGGGGTTGTTTTTCAGTGTGATTTCCAGCTGGGCTTTCTGCGTCAGATTCCACATTGCCAGAAAAAACCGCAAAAGCGGTCATCATTAAGTTGGTCCCTTTTGCCCTAGAAGCAGCTGGTTAGGAGTTCCAAGGCCTCTTAATTCTTAATTAGGGCCAAAGACCCTACGCTGCGTTCTGGGTGTGCACGTGTCTAGAGGTCCTCCGTCCCTCAGGGGAGGTCTGGAGGGTGCCTACGTCTGGGTGTCTTGGACACCCAGCGCCCATCGGAACCTGAGCAAGAAGGTGCAGAAGTCTCAACCCTTCTGTGACCCCAGCTCCTCCTCTGGACAGCCCTAGACTCTGCCCTCCATGTGTGGGGGGCCCAGCTCCCCTGCCAGTGCTGGCCCATTTGGGGGTCCCTCCTCCACCCCGAAACGTATTTGCTTTCCACTCCACTGAGTTTTCAAGGGCTCCATTGTACATGGCCCTCTGTCATGTTTCTCTCTGTTTAGCATTTTCAATTGTCTCCTGCCTCTCACAGCCACTTTGGAGGGGAAAGAAAGGTCACCCCACAAATCTAAGGTATTATTACCATGACGGCAGGGCCCGATTGCTGTGACACCCACCAGGCTGGGGAAGGTAGAGCTAATGAGACGGAAAACTTCCTTTCCAGGCGTGAGTCATGGGAAGCAGGTGTCAGGGGAGCCTTTAACGAGGCCCTCGTGACTCACAGGATATTTCCACTCTGCCTCGCAGTAGATGGTGCTGAGATCGCCAGGCCTCCCCACCCAAGACAGAGAGAAGACGTGCTCGAAGGCCTTTCTGCTTTCTGGCGGTCTTTCCCGTTTCCCTGCATTCATTCGCTCCCCAGACATTTCGGGTCCAGGGCTCGGTGCTGGGAGTCAGCAGTGAGCGCCGTTGCCCCGTAGGGACTCACAGCGCCAGAGTAGCACTGACCTTGTGCAGGAGACAGACCGTGACCGAGTGGCAGGGAACACACGGGGCATCCTGGAAGGTCGACAGGGCGATGAAGACGACGAAGCGGGGGAGGAGGAGTTAGACGGAGGGGCTGCTGTGCCTTCTTTAGAGAGGTGGCCGGGCAAGTGAGGGAAGGGCATTCCAGGTAGAGGGATCTGCCGATGTGAGGCCGGAGCTGGGAAGGGGCTGGGTGTGTCAGCAGAGCCCGAGGGCCCTGTGGCGGTGTGGAGTGAGCAAAGCAGACAGGCCGGGATGAAGCTGGAGAGGAGGACAGGGCCCGGGTCCCTCAGGGCATCTGGGTTTTAGTCTCCACATCATGGGCGGCCCCTGGCGGACACAGGGCACCAGGTCAGACCGTCAGATCTGTGTCAGAGCGAGCTTCCTGCTGCCGGCCCAAGGGAGGGGTCACGGCCGAGGCAGCAGCAGGCTTGGATAAAGAAAGCCATGTTGCTGTAGCCGTGGGGGGGGAAGCCGGGCTGTGGGTCATTCTGGGGGTGAAGCCTCCTCCTTGTCCTAGCACTGAAGGGCTCTGGAGCCCTCGGGCTGAGTAAATCTGTTGGCTGGTGGGGGTTGGGGGTGAGGGGGATAGGGGCCGTCTCTAACATGCATCAGGAGCAGACTGTAGCCAGGAGGGTGCTGGGAGGGTGCTCAGGAGGCTTCTGGAGGGCATGGGGAGGCCTTAGGGGGCCCCACACAGGGAGGCCTTAGGGGGGCCCACACAGGGAGGCCTTAGGGGGCCCCAGACAGTGGCTCTCAGACTGCCCGGGGGCCCATGACCCACCTTCCCAAAGCATCAACCCCACTCCAGATTTAGATTTATATCCAGGGAGGTGATTTAAAGCATTTTTTTTTTTTAAGAATGTTAAAATGAATGTGGAGTAGAGAAGAAAATCCACAGTATTTTTTAAAAGATAAAATGAAGTGATTTCACCCCTGTAGTTGGCAATGTGGACAGGAACCTTGGTGTCCACTGAACCACTGGGGTGCCTTGGGGGAAAAGTCTGAGAACCCTAAAGCACCTAAGAAGCAAACAGAGGATAGAAGAGAAGGAAAGAGGGAGGAAGAGAGACCAGGAGTGGGGAGGAATCCAAGAAAAGCAGAAAGGGAACGCGGTGTTTACTGACAATTTCCCCAAAGTGTCTGTTCTCTCCCTGTTCTCTAACCCCACTGGGCCCCACCAGGCCTGAACGACCCAAGCAAACAGGCCAGTTGTGGTCCCAGGACCCACGCGGGCTGGCTTTGCTGGCAAACAGCTTCCCCTCTTCGGAGCCCCATGGAAGGCATTTTCTCTTTTTCATCGGTTTTCTTTAATTGCACACGATCCACACTCAACACACACGTTCCTGTTGTCATTTGTCCTTTTTTCTCCGGGCGGACCCACAGAGCAAGTCTTTGCTGGGCGTGTTATTTACATGGTAGAAAGAACAAAGCCATCTCCTTATTGGGGGGAACAGATATGGGGGCGGGGTGGGGGTGGGGGGCAACACAGCTGTGTGCTGGGCTCTTGACCGGCTACGGCTTCACTTGTGGAGGCGGAGTGGTGGGGACCCCTCTGTGGCTGTTGCAGACGTCCTTCTTGGGGTGTGGTTCGAGCTGGTCCCATGCGGGGGACGAGCTCCGAGCCCACGTGCCTTCGAAGTCGTCTGGGAGCGACGGCAATAGCTTCAAGCTGCAGAGGGGAGGCAGGGCTGGAGGGAGGGGGCAGGGAGGGCGGCTCCTGGCAGTGGCAGTGGCGACGGGGCAGGACCTCTGGGCTCAGTTGTTGTCTCTGGTGTCCGAGGAGGCACTTCCAAACAAGATGTCACTGTCGTGGGACATGGTGCTCAGCTGCGACTTGGTCTTGATGAGGAACTGGGCCCTCTGGAACATCACCCGCTCCTGCTCCTGCTTGAGCTCCAGGTAGGAGCGCGAGAAGGTGTGGAAGATGGAGGTCACGGGGAAGGCCATGAGCAGGATGCCGCTGAGGATGCTGCTGAGCGCCACCACCTGGCCGGGCGTGCTCCTGGGCACCATGTCCCCGTAGCCCACAGTGGTCATGGTGATGACGGCCCACCAGTAGCAGGCGGGGATGCTGGTGAACTCGGGGCTGTCGGCCATCTCGTTCTCGATGACGTAGAGGAGGGGCGCAAAGAGCGCGATGGCCACGCAGAGGAAGAGCAGCAGGAGCCCGAACTCGCGGGTGCAGCGGCGGGCGGTGAGGCCCAGCGTCTGCAGCCCCAGGGAGTGGCGGGCCAGACGCATGACGTACAGGATGCGCAGCGCCCGCAGGACCCGCAGCACCAGCCCCACCTTGTCCAGGTAGCTGTTGCCCGCGCCCGGCTTGCGGCGGCCCGCGGCCGCGCCGTCCACCAGCAGGGTGATGTAGTAAGGCAGGATGGCCACCATGTCGATGAGCGTCAGGGGGCTCCGCAGGAAGGCGAACTTGCTGGGCGCCTGGATCAGCCGCAGGAGGAACTCGAGGGAGAACCAGCCCACGCACACCGACTCCACGATGAAGACGTTGTGGCACATCTGCGAGCACTGGCCCTGGGAGGGAGGGGGAGGTCAGGGCAGAGGTCAGTGGTCCCACCAGCCAGACTGGTGTGCTTTGCCCTGGCCCGCCCTAGTGAGGCTCCTGGGGGGGGGCGTGGCCAGGCCAAGGGCTTGAGGTCCCTCCAACAACCCCTCTTCACCTCTCTCTTGCCGGCCCACACCTGCTGCGCCTGGATTCCAGACCCCAGAAGGACTGCCTCCTGGATGTCACTCCTAGGGTGTCTGATAGGCGTTTCAAACTCATCATGTCCCAAACCCGGCTGCTGGTTTTTAAAAAAAAATTATTATTACGGAGATGTAATTGACATATGATATTGTGTCGGTTTCAGGTACACATGTTGATTTGATACGTCTATATATTGCAATAAGATTACCACTGTAGCCTTAAGGTAACACCTTTATCATGTCACATAGTTATCATTTCTTTTTTGGGGGTGGAAACAATTAAGCTTTAGCCTGTTCCGGTTCTTAGTGTCTCCTGCACACCCACCCACCAGTGCTTTCCCTTCTTAGCAATCCCACCTTTCCAGTTGCTCAGGATGGGATTCTCAGCCTCATTCTGACACTTCTCACATAGTCCTCAGGAAATCACCTTGGTTGTTCCTTTAAAATGATTCCAGAATCAAACCTCTTCTCCTCTGTCTGCTGCCCGCACCTTGGTCCAGCCACCATCCTCTCTTGCCTGGACAGCTGCAGGCACCTCCTTCCCGGGATCCCTGGTCCCTACGGTTTATTCTGAGCACATAACATGAATCAGATCCCGTGCCTTCTCTGCTCACCACCCTCCATGGCTCGGGAGAGATCGCTCGAGTCCTCCGAGGGCACATACGGCCTGGCTGCCACCTCTCCCACTTCCTAGCCCCCTGCCTGCCTTGTTCGTGTTCTCCAGCCTATCCCCACTCCCCAAGGCTCCCCTCACCTCCAAGCCAGGCCTTGAGTTTCTGCTCCCCCTGCAGGGGTCCTCTTCCCCCAGATACCCACATGGCTCTACCTTCCCTTCTTCCTGCTCTTTGCTTCAATATTGCTTCCCCAGGGAGGCCTTTCATGACCCCCTCCATTACCAGTCCCTTCTCCCTTTATCTTCCACCCTGATTCTCCTTTTCCTACTCTGTTTATTCAGAGGGTTCCTCATCTTTTAAAATGCTTTATAAGTCACTTATGTATCATGTTTATTTTGTTTCCACCCTCTGCCTCCCCCGCTCTTCTGCCCCAGCATATTAGAGCCCCTCAGGGAGGGGCAGCTCATGTGCTGTTACCTCTCAGGACCCCAGTGCCTGGAACAGCCCCACATGACAAGTGACCAATTTGCGTTTGTCACCAGGATGGATGGAAGCTCATGGGACTGGCGTTTAGATGGGAGTGCCAGCTCAGGGCCAGGTGGGCAAGGGGAACCCGAGGGAGCTGGGCCAGGTGGGGTGGAGGCCAGCCAGAGAGCGCAGCTGTCCTGCTAGGTACCTCCTGATGGCTGCGCCTGGAGAATTCAGGCTGGAGGCTGCTGCCACGCTGAAGTTTTCAGAAAGCCTGGAAGTCTGGACTTTAGCATGAAATCTCCTGGGTTTTAAATCAATACAAAGAGAACACTCTGTGGGCCACTCAAACAAGTCTGTGTGCTGCATTTGGCATGCGGGCTGTCTGCTTGTCCCTCTGGTTTGGCATGGAACTGGATGGGAGCCCGTGCCCAGTGGCTTTGGAGCTCAGTCTCAAAGCGGCCTGTGACAGAGCGGAAAGGCACACGTGGTTTTAGCCTGGGGCATCTGTCATTCCTGGGCACAGCTGGGTTCTATGAGACTCATGCTAGCAGCTCTCTCTCTAGGAATAAGTTAGAGGCTGCAGAAATGAACTAGCACTCAGTGGGCCATGAGGTTTCAGCCCTCTGGGATGGGAAGCCTCCTCCTCTAGGAGGCCTTCCTGGAGTGGGCCTCCTCCAAGTATCCCCAATGCAGTTGACAGGCCTCTCATAAGAGCCCCCTTCGGTTGTGACTCACACTTATGGTCACAGGGGTGTCACTGACCCTCCTCCATGGGACCTGAAGTCCTTGCAGCTGGAACACTTGTCCTGGTTCCCCTGCATGCCAGGCGATGCCTGAACACAGCGGGCCCTCGAACGTGTGCTCAAGGAGCAAGTGAAACAGTGAACCCCACTGGTCTCCAAAATGAAGTCAAAGAACAGCGTTATCACTGAATCAAGAAAAAGCCCAAGTGTCCTTAAAAAAAAAGCAAGTGTCAGAAGGTGACTAAAACAGTAGCTTTATTAGTATTTTCCTGATAAAGTCAGGATTGCCGATGCTGGAGCCAAGAAAAAATTTATAGCGTGTGCAGGTACTTCCAGAAGGTCTCAAATGACGAGGATTTCCTCGCTCTTTCTTTGGCGGGTACACGTCCCCTTATGGTTAGCACTGCCCGCACGCTCCAGGACCGGCCATTATTCTGGACACTTCCTGGGGAATCACTCACTGAATCCTCACAACATCTTGAGGTGAGACTCTGTGCAGCCCCCCTTGGCCATGTGAGGAAACTGAGGCACAGAGGGGGTAGGTAACTTGCCCACAGATGTGCAGCCAGAGTGGACACGCGGGATTCAAATTCAGGCCACTGGGCTCTAGCTCCGCCCTCCTCATCACTCCCCCTTCTCATCAAAAATTAATTTTACTGGTTGAGTGTTACTTTTTTAATACTCACTTTAAAAATCCGTGTATAAAAAAGTATCAGAAACCCATCCCCTCTCCATGTGTTATAAATGCAATAGCCATTGCCACCTGTTCCTGCATTATATATGTATGTGGAAAAACCCTCGCCTGGTAAGAAGTTCCAATGTTCCATCAGAGAGTTCCTGTGAAGCACTCAGCACATGCAGGGTACATAGCCGGTGCTCAATAAATGTTGGCCGGCACGATATTCATGTTGAGTTCATACAGCCATACCTATTTCTCCATTGCTTATATAATTTGTACTTGTCTGAATGTTTTGGTCTATCTTAACACTTGCTTCTAGAACCTGCCATGCTCCCCCTCCCCACCCCCATGTGGGGAAAAGCTCCCAACTTAAATGCCCAAAAGTCTCATATATTAGGAAGCTGAACTGGGGAGCACACATTTCCCACAGACTCAGCTTCCACCCAGAGCTGCTGTGTGGACAGCAGGCCAGGGGACCTGACCATATACATTTTGAGGAGCTGAGAGTTTGAATTTTTAAATGCAAGATGCTTTACTTTTGAATGTTGGCAACCAAGTGAAATTTTTAGGGACCACAGTGTGGGCCAATCACACACTTCTGTGGGGGTATATGAAGTCCAGGCTACCATGTGGGACCCGTACTTCTTTGGTCAAGAACACAGACCTTGGACTCAGGCAGACCTGCATCTGGTCACGCTGCCCTGCCTCACTGTTCTCATCTGCCATCTGGGTATGAGAACGCCTCCTGTTTACGGTTGCTGGGAGTCACTGAGAATATAAGCTGTAGAGAGAACCACGGCCCAGCCCCTGGCTGCTGGTAGCTGCGCGCCGAGTGCCACCCCTGAGAATGGAGCTCACACCTTGGCCAGGCCATGGAGTAAACATTTTACATCCTCTTGCTTAACACAGAGATGTTCGCTATTTGAGCACACACGCACACACGCACAGCTGTCAATAAAAATTATATGCAAGACCCAGAAAATATCTGGGATATTTTTAAACAAGGGAATTAGGAAGCTTGAGATAGGGCTCATGTGGGTGAAATAATTCTTGATGTAGTCTGCGTTTGGCTCAGGGGCAGGCACAATAAACATCACATCATTCCCGGACTCACTCATCTGCTCCTTCCACAGAGTGGCTGAGGGCCTCGTCCATGCTCCACACTGTTCTACACCCTGGGGGGCACAACACAGACCACGACAGGCACCGAGCTCGTGTTTGAAGGTGGAGGTGGACAACACACGTGTCAAGGGGACGTCAGAAGGGACTGGAGATGCTGCTCAGCCGGCACAGTCAGGGAAGGCCTCCTGGTGGAGGTGACCGCGCCAGCGTGAAGGAGGTGGACTTCCGGAGAGAGGGGTCCAGCAGACTGTTTTGTCTCCTGGACTCAGAGACTCTCCCTCCGGGCAGCGAGCCTCCCCCGCACACAGCTGTGGCTCTTACCTGCTCCTCCTCCTCCCGCAGGCTGGGCAGGGTGCTGATGGACAGGTTGACGGCCGTGACGGTGACGAAGAGCACCGAGAGGCAGGCAAACACCTTGCCGGGCAGCCCCGAGTGCGGCCTCTCCACCATGTCGCGCAGTCTCCGCATGCAGCGGCCCAGGCGGCCCTCGCCCTGAGCCGGGCCCTCGCTGTCGGGGTCCTCGCTGGACAGCGGCTCATCATCGTCGTCGCGCTCCACCACGTCGGCGAACTCCTCGATCTTCTGCAGGTAGCGGCGCTTGCAGCAGCCGTCCAGGCGGTCCTCGGCGATGCCCCAGTACAGCAGCTCCTCCTGGAAGGACAGGGCGCACATCTCGCGCAGCAGGCGCAGCTTGCCCGCCCGCAGGAAGGTCAGGATGGTGCCGAAGGCGCCCGGGTGGCGGTCGAAGAAGAACTCGTTGCAGGTCACGTCGTAGTCATCGCACACGTTGAGGATGTCGTCGAAGTTGGTGCAGGCTTTGAGCTGGCCGAGGCGCGTCAGCGGGAACTCCTCCAGCGTGGTCCAGGGCAGCGAGTACTTGATGCCGCCCACGTTGATGATGATCTGGCGCCGCCGGTCCTCGGGCTGGCCGGGCTGGCGGGGCGCGTCCTGGGGCCGGGGCCGCAGCCGCTGCGCCCGGCGGTAGAAGACACCCTTGAGGGACTGGCCCTGCGGGAAGAAGGCCGGGTGGAAGGAGGCATCCGAGGCGCAGCTCAGGGCGCTGTAGTCGTAATCGGAGTTGTCTCCCGGTAGGAGGGTCATTTTGGGCTTTCACATCCCCCTTGCGCCTGGGGTGGAGTAGGGAAGAGAGACCCTCAGTGAGGCCTGAGTCTGGGCTGACGGTGCCCACTCGGCCGGTATTCGGTGCTGGGGACAGAACCGTGCCCCCCCTTCTCCTCTTCCCAACTCACAGGGGAGGGCCTGACCCCTGTGGGTCAGTATAGGCAGGCAGAGGGGAGGGTGCTTAGGTTTTAGCTGAGGTCATGAGGGGTGGGATCAGTGCCCTTATGGGAAGAGGAAGAGGCACCAGAGCTCCCTCTCTCTCCACCAAGTGGGGACACAGAAGACAGCCACCTACAAGCCAGGAAGAGAGTCCTCACCCGAAGCCAACCCCAGCGGCACCCTGAACTTGGACTTCCAAGCACTTGTGGTTGCAAGCACAGACTCTGGAGCCTCGTGGTCTGGGCATGCTTCTTAATTTCCTCATCTGTAGAGTGGATACAACCATTTCGCCTACTTTGTAGGATTGTTGAGAAGATTGAATGAATCATGTGCTTAAGAGCATTTACCAACACAGTGCCTGGCCCACAGGAGGCGCTTGGTCCTCTCTGTCTATTATGACTATTTCTGTTTACCTTCCAGGGACACCTTGTATTGCTTCCGTAAGTGGAAAACCTGTATCATTGGCTGTAAGTAAGAGGCAGGGTCCGGAAAAATGCACAATTATCACAACAGTGCCATAGTTGCCTGTATACCATCCAACGTCTTGAGGCTATAGGGGTGAGCTGGACAGGGATGACCACTCCTCTAGGAAGCCTTCCTTGGCTCTTCCATCTAAATCAAGTCCTCCCACCCCTCTATCTGATCATCATCCTTACTATAACTATGCAAGCCCGACTCCTGTACGAGATTGCTTGCTCTGTAGGGTAAGAACCGGGCTCTGCTCAGCTCTGAATCTCTGTGCCCAGCAGTATAAAAGCTCAAAGAAGTAGCTGCTGAATGAGTTGCTGAATGAGGCCAACATGAGGAAGACACTTCCGAAAACCTGAGGTCAAAATACCCATTTACACGGGCTCCTTCCTTCTCAGCCCTCAAAGCTAACTAAGGGTACGTGCCACTGGAATGACGTTGCTTTTTCATTCATAGCTTGCAGACTGAATTTGGTTCACAGATATTCTGCCTGGCTTGGAGGAGATTCTGAAAATTGGGGAATTTTCTGCAAAAAATGTATATTCTTGGTTTCTCTTGGAAAATCAGACTATTAGGCAACATGTGGCCTAAATTCCAGCTGAGAAATGACTGTCTCCCCGCAGGCAGGGCATGCACGTGGCAATCTACCACAATTCCCACCCTTACCAGTTGTTTTCCTAATACTCACTCTCCTTCACTCTTGGATGTTCCGTTCCTAGCCCCTGCAGGCATTTGAGTTTGAGACCCCCAGATTATAGCTACCGAGCTCTCCAGAATGAAGCTGATCTATAGAAAGGGAGTAAGATTCTAATACTCTACTTTTTAAAAATTCATCATCCCTCCCCCCAGCCCAGTCCCCCATGGAAACAAGTGGTACCAGCAAAGTCTATCAATTCCATTTCTAATACCTGAGTGTTGATCTGTGCCATGGACATGTGCAGGGAAAATGCATGAGGACGCACATGCGCGCGTGCACACACACACACCTGTATGGGTAAGAAAGTATTCAACAGGAGCCGGGTTGGGGAGGTCCATCAAAACACGATCCTTCAGGGGCACCTGGGTGGCTCAGTGGGTTAAAGCCTCTGCCTTTGGCTCGGGTCATGGTCCCGGGGTCCTGGGATCGAGCCCCGCATCGGGCTCTCTGCTCCGTGGGGAGCCTGCTTCCTCCCCTCTCTCTCTCTGTCTGCCTCTCTGCTTACTTGCGATCTCTCTCTCTCTCTGTCAAATAAATAAATAATCTTAAAAAAAAAAAAAAAAAGAAACACGATCCTTCCTAACAAATTCTTGTACATAAAGCAAATCATGCCTCCACTCATTTATCTCTGGGGAAAGCTACAGTTTCACAGATTGGGTTCTAGAAAACTAAGTACACCTGCGCTTTAAATGAAAATGATCTGATTTTAGAGTGTTGAGTATGTTTCTTAACTTCACCTAAAATTGGAACCCATCTCCTAGGGCACAGCCTGCCAGAATCCCTTGGAGGAGCGAGAATAATCCCTTTTAGGCACTTCACATGAGTGGTACCGCTTTTCAGTTCGGTTGCTTTATCTTTGCCACCAGAGACAAGAGGAAAAGTGACATTCTGTTTGGCAAGAATGGTGACAGAGGGAAAGGAACCTTCCTCTGGTCCTGTAAGCCTGGAAGAGCCCTTGTGAAACTCCCTCGACTGTAATTACCTCTTACAGACAAAATGTCTTCTTTCAAGCTTCCAGCTCTCCCTCTGGCACAGAGCTCCCCCAATTAGCGATCCCTCATTTCTTTCTCTCATGACCCTTGTCAGTTGTGAGTTAAAGGCTCAGCATCTCCTATGTGCAAAGTTATCCTGTCCCAGCATACCATTTAGCATGGAGAAGGAGAAAACCCACGTCGCGCAGGCTGCTTGCTCACAGGAGGCCAGGTGCTGGGATTTGCTAGATGGGGAATGGGCAAACTTCTCCCTGGCCTTGGGTCTTGGGGACACCCAGTCTGATGGGTGTGTGTCGGGGGGATGGCTCTGCATGCTAGACTCTAGCGTCTCGGGCGAAGTTCATAAATCAAACAGGCCCCAAAGCCCTGCTTCTAGAAAACAATGTCACTTTTCACCCAGCCCAATACCCTCGTGAGAAGTTTGGTCTTTTAACATTTCTCTACAGTGTTGGGTCTGTCAGTCCTAGAGCATGATGGAGTTTAGTGATTTTGTCTCTGAGGGTCTGTGGATGCTTGGGAAGAGAAAGCCATCTGAGAAAGGGGCTGTGATACTGAAGATGACAAGGAGTCCTGAGCTGTCATTCAACACTTACCACGTGTTGGGTCTGGGCCAGATCTACAGGCACAGCAAAGACCAAGACAGACGCAGCCCTTGTCCTCTGGGGGTGGACATTCTAGTGGCAGAGGTGGTCTCTAAGTAAGTACACAGATCATTTCGGGAAATAGAGCAAGAACATGACAGCAAGAGGAGCTGGAGTGGTCTGGGAGGGCTTCTCGGAGGAGACGACCTTGGGGCTGAGGTTGGATGGGAACAAGCCAGCCCTATGAGGACCTGGAGAAGGGTGCCTAAGGCTGAGGGAATGGGAAGAGCTTGCTCCTTGACCTGCGGGTGGGCTTGGGTGGTCAAGCCAAGAGAAGGCCGAGTGGCTGGATGCAGTGAGTGAAGGGAAGGTGGGAGAAGTTGAGTGGGAGAAAGTTAGCAGACACCAGATGGAATAGAGCCTAGTGGGCCATGACAAGGGCTGGGGTTTAGTCGGGTGGGGGGGTGGTGGTCCTCAAGAGTAGACTATGGGTGGGCTGGGGAAAACAGGCTGGAATTCTCTGTAGTCATTCTTGAAAGAGTCAGCTAAGGCTTGAAGCGGGACTGAGAATTGGCTGCATTCCAGATGGACTTTGGAGGAATTGCTGCTAAGACTTGCTGTGGGAGGGGAGTGTGGTGAAGGGGAGAGAATGGATTCCAGTGGTGCCATTCATGGAGGAGACACTAGGTGGCGTCTTGGTGAGCCTCCTGTAGAGGCAGCATTTGCTGGCTGTGGGATGGTGGACGGGAGGGCAGATGGGCAAATCAGGGAGAGAGAGTAGGGATGAGGGTGGTTTGCGTGGATGGATGGATGGACGGAAGCAGACCACACCAAAGCTGCCTTGATGAGTGTGTGTGTGTGTGTGTGTGTGTGTGTGTGTGTGTGGTGGTAGTGGTAGTTTCGGCTGGTCGTTTTGACCTGGCTGAGCTGCAGAGGACAGGAGGGCCAGGCTAGCAGAGAAATGGCAGAGCCCAGAGGCTGAGGCACTCCCGGTGCCCAGCACTCAGCACCCACTTTTTTGTCGAAGTTGTACTCCACACCGGGCCTGGCTAGTGCAGGTAGATCCCACTAGGGAGACGTGTAGAGGGAGTGCTGTGCCCCCACCAAGATGCCCTGATCCTAATCCCTGGAACCTGTGAATAGGTTAGATTACATGTGAGGAGGAATTAAGGTTGCCAGTCAGCTGCCTTTCAGATGGGAAGATGATCCTGGGTTCTCTGGGGGCCCACGCCATCATGAGGGTCCTTAAAAGATGGAAGAGAGAGGCAGGAAAGCGTTTCGGATGCCATGCGGTGTGAGGAAGAGCTGGCCGGCCACCACTGGCTTTGAAGATGGAAGGGGCCACGACAGCAGGCAGCCTCTAGAAGCTGGAAAAGGCAAGGCCTGGTTCCTGGACTCTCCAGAAAGGAATGCAGGCTGTGAATCCCTTTATTTTAGCCCTGCAAGGCCCATTTGAGACGTCTGTCTCCCAAAATGTGAGGTAAGGAGGTTGTGCTGTTTTCAGCTGCTCAGTTAAGATAGCAATATTGGGGAGATTCAGAAAAAGCAGGTCCTACTCCAGCTTGGGGGACAGCTTGCTGACTACTCCGACCCGGGGAAGCAGAAGAGCCCATGCACTTTGAAACCTGGAGACCTGGGCTCAAGGCCAGTCACTCTGACTTTGGGCAAGTCATGTCTTACCTCTGAGACTCACTGTCCTCATCTGTAAAATGGGGATATGAAAAGCTCCTACCTCCCTGTGTCATGGTGAAGACCAAGGCAGATGACCTGGGTTATGTGCTTGGCCTAATACCTGACACACAGTGGACCCTCAACAGACACCCGCTGTATTTTTAACTACGAGGGAGGTCTGTCATCTTTCTCTCCACCTGCCAAGGGTGACTCCTTTCTTGACCTGATCCAATGGGATTGGAACCTGGCGTTGGTCTGAGCCCCAGAGCTCCCTGCTGGAGGAAGTACTGCCCGATACAAGGGTGTTGCTGCTGTATGAGCCAGCAATCCCAGTCCTGGGTGTATTTCTCAGACCTGGGGCCACAGGGGGTGTGGGACACAATAATATATCATTTGCACACAGAACCTTGA